CTGAAGAAATTTTATATGAGGTTAGGTTATTACATGATGTTGAATTGCCCGAGTTTTCTGAATCTGTAGTTCAGGTGTCTTTGGTAGACACCAGTCCCAATAATTGTAGGATGACATCTTCAACTAGTGATGGGAGTATTGCTGACCTGATCAATCAGTATTCTGACCATGATGAGCTGACAAACCAGAAGAAGGATGAACTCCAGCAAAATTGTGACATTGTGAGACTTTCAAAAGTAGGAAGGTGTTGTTTAGTGCAGGTTGAACCCATTGATCTCCACGATCAGGCACTGCATGGTATATTGGTGTCTCATACTATTGTTAAATCTGACCAGAAGTTGTGTCAGGTGCGTGTCCTTAACACAGGTCCAACACAGAAGCTGTTTAAGGGTACTGTTATTGGTTCGGGGTCTGTGGTTGAACCTGAAAATATTTCCACTACCTCTTTTATTTCCAGTGTGCCTGACAAAGGGGGTACAATATGGATTCCTCAGTGCATTTGGGTCATTCTGCAAAAGGTAGTTTTGTAGGGCATGACAGTGAAAGGCCCAGTTCTGAGGGTTCTGAGTCAAAACAGGGTCCTGAGTTGGTACATCTTGATGTTGTCATGGATAATCTACCAAAAGGTCTACCAGAATGTGAAAAACTTAAGCTCAAATCACTTTTAAAGCAAAATGCTGATGTGTTTGCTAAAACAAAAATGACCTAGGCTGTACTGATACAGTTGAGCATGTCATTGATACTGGGGATGCTAAACCGATTAAGCAACCCCCACGTCGCCTTCCTCTGGCCAAGAGACAGGTGGCCCTTAATGAGGTTCAAAGAATGTTACAGGCTGATGTAATTGAGCCTTCTAATTCAAGTTGGTGTAGCCCTGTAGTTTTGGTCAACAAGAAAGATGGATCTACTAGATTTTGTATAGACTATCGTCAGGTAAACTCCAAGACAATTAAGGACTCCTATCCTCTACCAAGGATTGATGAGACCTTGGATCTACTGTCGGGCAATGCCTACTTCTCTACATTGGATCTGATGTCAGGATATTGGCAAATAAAAATCCAAGAAGAAGACCGGAAGAAAAGTGCTTTCAGTATAGGAAGTGGTCTCTATCAGTTTAAGAACATGCCATTCGGTCTTTGTAATGCACCAGCAACTTTTCAAAGACTTATGGAAACTGTCCTTGTAGGGAATTTGTGGAATGTTTGTCTTTAATATCTTGACGACATAATAGTGTTTGGCAAAGACTCCGAGACACACAGACATAATCTGCAGAAGGTGTTTGATAGTCTCAGAGCTGCTAACCTCAAGCTCTCCCCAAAGAAGTGTTTCCTTATGAGGACAGAAGTTGCCTTCCTAGGACACATTGTATGCAGTGAGGGCATCAAAACTGATCCAGAGAGAAGTGAAGCACCATCCTGAGAGACATTTGCATTAAGACATCAACCCTTAAGACATTTGCTGATATGGCGGGTAATATGATTTTTGATTTTGTCTGGGCATACATCAATTTTGGTTTTGAAATTTGCATAATGTTTTTTTTCAATCAATCATTCAATTTATGGTTTTATGCATATATGTAAACATTTAAAGCACAAAGAGATGGCGTCACAATGATATAATGCATTAATTTTTCTATGGGTCTGGTTGCCAAATTTGTTGTGTGAGGGGAGGATACACTTTTGCGCAGTTGCAGTTATTTTCAAAGACAATCAGTTCTTTGGTTTTTCAATAATGCCCAGAGCAGGTTCAGATTGCAGATGTTATATTAATTGCTTTGTTGGTTACTCTGCTGATTACATATTTGGATATGTTAGGTCGGCATTTTTTGATACAATGGTAATATATATGTAAAGGTCAATGAAATTCAGTCATTTGAAGTTATTGTAGTTTTTTTAATTGCTTTACAGATTTATGTCTATCAATGTTGTTTTAGAAATTAATCAATCATGACTCTTTCAAAGTTCTACATATCGCTTTGGTTTGGTGAATTGCCAATGAAACATGTCAGAGATATTATACTTTATTGGACCAGAAATAGCCCCATGAGCTTAAGACTTTTTACATGTGCATGGGCGTGTTTGACCATAAATGCTCCTATTTCTTTTGGATATTTGAAACATTGAGATCTATTGCAAGCTATTCGGAAAGGTCTACTCGTTATAATGAGATATTTTGCTAGTTGTTACCGAAGTATTATAGCTAGTATTTGCAAGATTTAATAATAAGTTGAATAATCCAATCAAACAAGGGCTTGTTGCTAGACACAAATATTTCCAGACAAGTGTGAATAACAGTTTTGGTATTGCCTATACTTTGGCATACTTGAAGACTGACTTATATTTAGTTCTGTTGCAGCCTGGATGGTTAGCTATTCGTTAAAGGTTAGCTGTGTTGGCATTTCTCAGATATCTTTAGAGCTATAACTTATCTTTATTTCACTTTTCTTGGATGATATTGGGGATGGATTCAAAAGTTCATGATCAAATGGCATCAATATTTGCAAAATAAAGGCAGGAAATGTATTGCTAGTGTTCCATAAATAAGAGTGTAGATCTCTATTTTATTTTCATATTTAATGAAAATTGCGCATATAATTTTATTTGATATTCAGTCATTTTAAGTAATTTATTTTAATTGCTTTACAGATTTATACTTAGAAATCAATCAATTTAAAGGCTTTCAAAGAAAAGTCTTCTCTTCGTAAGGAAATATTTTGTTAAGTATTTGTAGAAGTTTTAGTATATGCGAAACTGAATCTTTGAATATTGAATTTGAAAATGCAGAGTCAATGCGCGAATTAGATGACAATGAAGTAACTGATGTTGATGCGTCAATATACATTTATGAGTCCGTGACTTTAGAATATGACGTTGAATTGAAAAATGATATTGAACAGTTAAATGAGCTGATAATTGATATTGAGTCAATAAATTGTATGTTACTGCACAGTGAAACTGTGGGTATTGAATCTTGCTTTGATAAGTGTACTTTATGCTCATATGACAGTGAACTTGATAATGATGAGTATGATAAAATGTTTGAAGGTTACTGCGTTGATGATTTAATTAGTGATGATGTAGATGATGAATATGTCATGTGCAATGATAATTCAATTAGTGACAATTTCGATGATGATGAATATGTCACTTGTAATGATACAAATGATGACGAGACTTGTAGTATCCATTTCGTAAGAAAGGCGGATGGAGCTAGGCTGGCAACCTCTCTTGACCTTGATGTGACAAACGAGTTTCATGTCAAGGACAATGCTACAGAGTCAAATGATATTTTGTACCACAAGTGTGATCTGCGAGTGATTCAGATTCCAATATGATATAAGTTTCAGCTAAAGGTCGAATACTCAAAACAAACTCGTGTTATTTATTACATATTTTTACAGTCTTTGAACAGTGCTAAATGATGTTGTAGCTATTTGTTAAAGGTTAACAATGTTGGAAAATTATCTTTACATGGATACAGAACATATGGTTCATTTTTAAACAACTATAACTTATTCTTATTTTTGACCTGGACTAAAGTCTAAAAGCCTAGTCAAGGCCTTACAAAGACTCTCTCATAACTAAAATTGAAAGATTTTGGGAACCCCTGTCTACTTATTTATTCGATAATATATGACTTTTGGCAAAACATTTTTAGAGGAATCATTTTAATTGGAGCACCTAGCTGACGAGTTAGCGTGTCCACATTACAGAATTTTTCTAAAATGATATATTTGGGTCTAGAGCTTTATAATATTTATGGATGTGTGAAATATTTGTTGAGGAATGAACTCGACTGCTTGATGATGGTGGGGGAGAAAGTAAACAGATAAGGGAGAACGAAACAATTTTAATTATATAGCCAGGTAAAGTCCGGAATGGTAGGGGCTGGCTGACCCTTGGGGCCATGATGATCTGGCCGGAAGTAAGTCCACGACGTCATGTGCTACCCTTTACCTGGGCTAGTATGTAAGACCATGGCAATAAATGAGATATGATATTAGTGCGTATATGATATAAGGTGCGTAGTGCACTCATTTGTGGGGCTCTAGACTTGACTATATAAAATTCAATGACTTTCTTGACTAAACTGATCACTTGGTCAAGGGATCATTTGACATCCTTTGAAGTAAAAATGTTATGTTTATCTGAGAGTAGGAACAATATTTTCTTTAAAACCTTTCTTTATCTTGGCTACAAGTATTGTTTTATAACACTTTGGCTAGAAGGCGGCCATTTTGAAAAGTGAGTGACCATTTTTGAATGGTATAATGGTGAACTTTGAATTTTGATTTTGTAAAAATTACAGTCATGTTAGTTCGATAGGATTTGCTACGCTTTTAGCGTTGCTGTTGTCTAGTTCATTAAAACAATTGAGATACAAACACAACTGATATTAAAATTTAATCGAAACTGAAAGAAGTAATGTAATATAAGTGATTATGAGTAGGCAGAAAATAATAGAAATGAAGTTGTTGAAATTAAGTAAGTGAAGAAAATGCTTCTTTGAACTAGGCAGGAAGTAGGTTAATTGGTGTTATTGTTTATGGCTTGTGTTGACTTTGAAATGCTTTTTATATCTTTGCCTACAGGTGGGGAATTGTGATTCACGGTGGTATCGATGGGTTCTCCCGACTCATCACCTTTCTACATGCATCCAACAACAACAAGTCTAGTACAGTTTTTCGTCTGTTTCAAGATGCAGCGAAAGAGCAAGTAGACTCTTATAAATACAATCAGGGTCAAAATAATGTGAGCATGCACCATTATTGTAGAAACAAATCTCTTTGATTTTTCTGATCCAATGAAACACAAATCGTAGTCATTTTACCATGAGTGTGAAACTCAATGCGAGTGTAAAATATATACATTTTCTTAAATTGTCAAAAAATAATGTTATGTAAATAAAATCTATATTCTATTCAAGGTTGTACTACTGTTCACCCTGTCTTATTTACAAATTTATGTACATATTAAATTGAATAGTTATTGTCTGTTTCAGATATGGATGTCCCTCTAGGATACGTGTTGACAGAGGAGGAGAAAACAATAATATATGCAACTTCATGGAAGAAAAAAGAGGGCCTGATAGAGGAAGTGCCATACGTGGAAGGACAGTCCACAATCAACGGATTGAAAGATCCTGGGTGGATTTGTGGAATGGAGTTACACATGTTTTCTATGACATATTCTATTACTTTGAAAGTAGAGGTGACCTTATTGTGGATGACAATGGACAATGACTGCAAATGGTCATTACAGTATGTATATATTCCAAGGATAAACAAGACGATTGAAGAATTTATTGCGCAGTGGAATAACCAGGGCCTCCGCACAGAACATATGGCAACACCCACCCAACTTTTTATTCAAGGAGCTCTGGCACAAGCGAATTCTAACTTAGTTGCCATGCGGGATATTTTTGCTCCGTCTACTGTAAGATCAGATCTTGAGTCAGAAGTTGAGAGAATAGATGAAGACCAACCTCATGTAGTCGTCCCAGACATTGGATGCCCAATATCTCCTGAAAATTTTAGATCCTTCCAAAACCTTGTTGACCCACTTGCAACCACTGATGACTTTGGACTATCTTTATTTCTTCAAACATTACAGTTTGTAAGAGATCACATTTAATTGCCCCCAAAGGATCAGGAAATGAATCCAGTGATATCAACCTAGAACATATCAAAAATTGTAATGTCTGGACATTCGAAATACTGGCAGTTTCTGCTTGTAAACTTTAATCTGCTAGAGATTTCGTCGTTGAGAAATTATATTGAACATCCAGACTTTTTTTAAATAATTTTATTTCAATTTCATACCATATCATACAAAGAATATCATATTGTAAAAATTCAACAAGGTTAATCAATTTAACATTGAATTTAACGTTGAATTGTAAATACAACAAATTCTAGTATACAAATCAAATACAATTTTTTACAATCATTCATTACTGTTCAAACAAAGGCAAAAAATATAATCAGGCTGGTATTAGATATTTCACAAAAAACAGTATTGGGTAGATTCTGGCGTGGCGTGTAATACATATCAATCTTGGTTGCTTTTAAGAATTTAAAAGTAGCTTTCAGATGAAGTCTATTATCTATTATCAATCATTACTAAGTTCTTTATAACCATGTTATAGCTGACCTTGTTAACAGAGTTAGCATCTAAGAACAAACAACCAATAATATAAACAATCAATCTAAACAACCAATAATATGGAGATCTATAATCAGTTGGATTCCGTCATCTTCGAATTGAGGGCATTTGAGGAAAAAATGAACTAGGGTTTCATTTTCATTACCACAATTGCAGGCTGGTGAGTCTATGTTATTAAAAATAACGAGCAAATAATTGACTTTTTTAAAAATATGTCTACGTTTAACCTGTTAAATATAATTTCAGTTTTTCTAGTGATATCAAGTAATGTTATGATATTTAAACATGTTTCATTTCTAAAATGCTTTCTGAGTTTGCCCTTAAAAGTTGATTTTCTATTGCAATTTTTAAATCATTAGGCAAATCGTTCCATGCTTTAATGGCAGCAAAATATTTAGTTTTTCTGGTTGAAATGCGGATATTTAGAGGCACATTATACTCTCTGGCACCCCTTAGGAGTCTATTTGGCTCATGTAAGTATTTATTAAATATTTCAGTGACATATGGAGCTGATAAATTAATTGTACATTTAAATAAAAATGAGCAAAAATGGCTTCTTCTTCTCTCAGACAAAGTTACCAATTTAGTGTCTCCAAGACCTTATGGGTGCTCGAACCATGTAGAAGGACTTTACATATCATTTAAACAAAGGCCCTTTGGAATATTCCTCCCATAACGCTTTCTTAGATGTTCTTATTTATTCTTTATATTAAGTATCATTTATTTATTATTCTGTTCAAGTTTTTCTCTTATTTCGAGTTATATGATAGTAATGAACTATATGCTCCTATATATAGGAAACCTTGGCCAAAATTGGAAGGAAATCAATTTCTTTTTATCCGGGTCAGGTTTGACACAACACTTTAGAATTCATGTAATATATGTTTGTTATCATGTGAATTCTAGTCATGTTATCACAATAAAAAGGTAACTTGCAGCAAGGCTTTTTTTCTCATGGCCTCTTCATCATGGCTTTCCTTCTCCCGGCTTTAAATTGGTTCTTAATAACCTTGAATAATGCTTATTTATGATTATGATGCCATAAGATATTGAACATATGTTTTATTTCACAATGCTTTTAAGATTTTGCTGCAGATATGATGTTTCTATTAAATAACCACTTTTATACAATAAAAATAAAAATAAAAGATTAATAATTAAAAATATAGTAAAATAGAGGGTTTTGTTGATTTTTGCTGTGCAACAAAGCCTCGGTAACTATATATAAAGTACATGTATATTGGATATAGTTAATCCAGTTGAAATTTCATGAATGGTCACACAAGACCTTAGAGAAATGTACATCCTGACTTTAAACCAATATTATTAATTTTTACTCTCGAACTTTGAGAAATGTAGATGTGGCCTAGATTAATGACCTTGACCTTGAACATTTTACTTTTTCAGAGCTCAGTGGGTATATTGTGATGAAGCGGACAAAAATTTTAATCCAAAAAATCAATTTGAAAAATCAATGTTTTGACCTTCGAATGTCTCTGAAGGTCTTATCTCAAGACTAAGGTCAGATTTGAACTTCAGTGAACTTGTAGATGATTAAAAAGGAAATTGGTGCGATTGAAGCAAGTTGAAAAAAATTTTGACTTCAAATATCTCAAAACGGTAAAAATGTATTCTGACACATATTGAGTCATTTGTATAGACTGCTTTGATCTAGTAACAATTAATTTCATCACAAGAAATAATGAATTATAAGGACAAACTTTGAGAAACTTGTCAATCAAGAAAACTTCAATTGACTTTAGACTTGAGAAAGTTTCCTAAAAATGACAGGTCAAATATGCACCATGAATATGCATAAAATGAATGTGGATTGACTCAATACGAATAGCAGTTTTAGTTTTAGCAGCAACTAGCAGCCATTAGACCATGTTTCATCTAACTTGAAATACGTCACGCGATCAATTGGACGAGAAGTAAAGTTGGAAGTCACATTTATAAAATACAGATGTACTACACAAAAGTTGAACAATTGGGTTTCAGCTCTTTAATAACATATTAACACATTATATACTCGTACTACGATTGTTTTTGCTCCGCGGTCATACAAAAATACAACCTTGGATTTAGCTCTTTCATAACAAAATATTATGCAAACCTTGAAATCAATCTCGGTGATATAATTCATCTATAAGTAAAAAATACTGTAAGATTGATAGCTAACAGTTATTCCTATAGTTATTGTAACTCGACCACACACTTGCGATTGTCATCATTATTGTTTACAATTACTTATTATCTTCATTGGTAGTTAATGTAAGTGTCACATGATGGACCTAGGTGCCAATAAGAAGGCGCTGTGTAAGTGTTCAGCCTGAGTAATATTTTTTAACCTAAAATTTAACATTGCTTGAATATATGAAGAGAATTCTCTACTAAAATATACCAACATTTTACTAAGCATAGTTTATCCTAATGTACATTGGCCGTAAATATTATAAATGCACCATGCAAAGTTTGTAGGTTTAACAAGTCAATATTTAATATGACCCCTCTTCTCTCGAATGACAATTACAATCCCAGGGCCCCGTTTTGAAATAAATCGTTCAAGTTGCATTTTGTTGATTTTCCTTAAAGCTATTTTTATAAAAAAAACTTTGAATTCGCCTCATCTCAATGTTGTTAAATTTATTAATTGAGAAAATGTATTGCTTCCAATTATGTTATGTGTATCTCTCAATGTTTTTTTAACGTCGCCCTTTTGTTTTTTTGTGATAGACCACTTAAAAACAGAAATAATTTTTTTTAGATATAAAAGTTCTGAAGCTTTAGCCAATCAAAATTGAGTATTGAGTAGTGTTGTTAATTAAACTTACGAATCCTGACTCTCTGTACCATGTTAAAGTATGGGTGTAACCTTATATTTTAATTACTTATTGCGTTACTAGCACGTTAAGGTCCAATCTGGTGACATAATCAAAATTTTGTATTGCAGCTGATTGGTTTCAAACAATACATTTCGGTTTGTTGTTGGTTATTATCCCATCGAACGAAGTTCGGAGGGATATAGGGAACGCCTCCGTCCGTCCGTCCGGGCAATAACTCAAATACCGTTGGCCCGATTTTGTTCATATTTTGTACACATATACCCTATGGGGGTAGAAGTTCTGGTCGAAAGCGGATTTTCAAAATGGCTGCTCATTTCAAAATGGCGGCCATTTTAGTGCCGAATTTACAGTGATTTAGGTGCAATATGTAAAACTGTTATATAGGACATTAATAAAGCTAGAAATGTAGATATTAAAGAAGCACATGGCAGCCATCTTGAAAAATGGCGGCCTTTACTCGTTATTTTACGATTTTTGCTGTAACTCGAAAAGTAGTGGAGCGATTTTGTTCATATTTGGTATGTGAATACTATAAACATTGCACATTATCTAAAGACACTTTTGGTAAAAGGCGGCCATTTTGAAAAAAGGCCGCCATTTTGAAAAATGACCACCATTTTAACGTATTTTACTATAACTCGAAAAGTAGTGGAGCGATTTTGTTCATATTTGGTATGTGAATATTATAAGCATGACACACTGTCCAATGACACATTTGGTAGAAGGTGGCCATTTTGAATTTTTTTTGAAAAATGGCCGCCATTTTCACGTATTTTACTATAACTCGAAAATTAGTGAAGCGATTTTGTTCATATTTGGTATGTGAATACTATAAGCATGGCTCACTGTCTAATGACACTTTTGGTAGAAGGCGGCCATTTTTCAAAATGGCCGCCATTTTAACGTATTTTACTAAAACTCAAAATATAGTGGAGCGATTTTGTTCATATTTGGTATGTGAATACTATAAGCATGACACACTGTCCTATGACACTTTTGGTAGAAGGCGGCCATTTTGAATTTTTTTTTGAAAAATGGCCGCCATTTTAACATATTTTACTATAACTCGAAAAGTAATGAAGCGATTTTGTTCATATTTGGTATGTGAATACTGTAAGCATGGCACACTGTCTAATGACACTTTTGGTAGAAGACGGACATTTTTCAAAATGGCCGCCATTTTAACGTATTTTACTATAACTCGAAAAGTAGTGGAGCGATTTTGTTTATATTTGGTATGTAATACCATAAGCACGGCACACTGTCTAACGGCACTTTTGGTAGAAGGTGGCCATTTTGAAAAATGGCCGCCATTTTAACATATTTTACTATAACTTGAAAAGTAGTGGAGCGATTTTGTTCATATTTGGTATGTGAATACTATAAGCATGGCACATGGTCTAATGACACTTTTGGTAGAAGGCGGCCACTTTGAAAAATGGCTGCCATTTTTGCTATATACTTTGTTTGTAAAAATGCCATCCATGGCTGTCCGATGGGATTCGCTACGCTTTGGCGTTGCCGTTGTTCTGGTTACTGATTGAATATTCACATATTCTAATTTTTTGGATCACCCTGTATATTGATAAACCAACTTAAGAAATAAATAATGATTAAATCTTTAAGAACTTTAAGATAAAATAATCAATAATTATTTTCGTTCTAGATTATCATGTGGTACCATGGAAGTTACCAAAACAAAATACATTAAGTTAATGGTATTTTGGTATGTAAGAACCGTATAATGGTAATATATGATGGCATTTAATGGCTAAATCAAATTTACTTCTTTAAATAATGTCGAGTAAATGGTTATCATACAGATCAGTTATGAATATGAAATGCATAGCTTCCATTTATTACTTTCTATTAGTGTTATATGAGACTTTTCAATTTAAGTTTGATTTCATATTATTTGTTTTATTTTCTGGACAATAAAGCAATAACATGACATTAATTTTCATATTTATATGGTGTTATTACACCCCTATATATACACCCC